TAACAGAATATTAAACCTAAGTAATATTCACAATATAAAAATACCCTTGTACGAAGACGACAGGCCAAGACAAAAGGCATGATTTTATACAAAAAATAAAATCAACTGTGTACGGGAATGCCTTCTTGTGTTAGCGACTGTCATCCTTTCTATAATAAATATTTTATCACACAATCTTACCTCTGAGTAGAGGAAGTTTTAGAAAACCCTTTGTTTATTATCATATATCAGGAAAATCAACAATAACTATAAAATAAATTGATTTATCAAGTGTAACATAAGACTGAAAACAAATTATTCTAAACTAATTATGTTTTCCTGCAGAATCAAAGACTCCCGTACCCGTCTATGTTTCTCGTGTACAATAATGCATAGTGATAGTGATTATAGGGGCCCCTGCCGCAGAGTAACTTTATGAATGATAAAAAAATATTTCTATTACACATCGATATATCACATTAGTTAATGCAGTCCAATTGTATTTTTTCTGCAAGATTGGATGGAATTTTGGACCCAATTAATTATATTTTAATTAATTAAATTTACTCTGAGACAATGGGTCGTATCTTCTTATTTATAAAATGAATTGTTTTTCAACCTTCTTATATAGAATTCCAAATTATACGTAACATTTCAATATATACCAATTTCTCCAGAAATGTAATTATAGAATGTAAAATCTACCATGCTCTTACAATATTTATGTTCGACATAATCATTTACTCCGAAAATTTCAATAAATCAATATTTGAATTGGTTATTCCAATTCATAAATCAAATATATTCTAAAATTAATTAGAAAAGACTTACAGGTATATCAGCACACACTAGCGTTTTTAAATGATCTTCCTTCAATCTATGTTTTAAACAGTATTGTAACAGTTTGTACAATTTTGGTATGAACTACAAGTTCGAATTGATTCTTACAATGAGGTATTCATTCATTACACCAAGTAATTATCTTTCTAACAATTGATTACATCTAGACGATTCCCATACATATAAAGCATTTTAAAATTTAAATGTCCGGTTATCAAAATATTTGTTTACTTTAGGAATACTAATTTTCGTTGATGATCATAGACGTGTTGCAGTGATGTCAGAACACAGACAGAGCACATTTAATAGGATTCAAATTTATTTTAATGACGTCGCATTACTTAGAAAATGTAATTACGTATTCTAGAATTTCTAAGCGAAAGAAATTTTGTATGTTATTGAGCTTTTCAAATGGCGACTTAGAAAGTGCGTTTCATTAATAAGTCGTTGTACAAATCGTGATTTCGATTTCTACTATCTATTCAGCAAAAAATAGTACTGAAGTTAAAGTTACGATTCAAATAGAATTCATAATAAAATGTCAGAAACAAAATAGTTGTCAAATTGTAAAATATTCACAGTAAGATACCAAACATAATCAATTAATCTAGGCCGGGAAATACGAAAAATTACTTGCAAGAGCATTATAAATATTGACAAACAACCAGAACATTATTGTGTGATTTATAAGAGAAAATGTAATGGCACACATTTAACACAAGGGTAGATTAGAAATTGCAAAGCTGGATCAAGCATTTTACAACGTTTATCCAAATGAAAATTGAGGTAGAACTCAATGAGTAAATAATACAGAAAGCCCATATTACGAAACCGTAGGGTCACGAATTACCGCAATTACCTATATTTATTCTTTATGATTTTTTATATTCATTGAAAACTGTTCCATTCGTCTAGGACCTTTCTCGTAATTAAAAAAATATTATTAAACTTGAGTTGAATGCATGACTTGATCGGTTTCTTAACATGGACTTCTTGCAACTCTAAGCTATAACGCAGACCAGACTACTTTTAGTTTTGGAAGACTAAAATTCACCAATTATAATTCCACTGTAACTACATAATATATCACCTATGTAGACGTGAGTCCCGTATGAAGGTTTTTATATCAAAGGCATACTGTGTAGGCTAGTTCATCATCTCATGATTTAATATCGCTACATGTTTAGTGGTAGATGCATCTCACGCGAATCTGCTCTAAATTCGATGTAGATTATTTACAATGACTTTGATCTAGGTAAAAGCTACATTCATATTTTAATGGAATCTATACTGTTGCAGACTTATGACTTTATTCGATATTTTATGTATATTATTACTAAATTCTATTTCATTTTCAATATTATTAATTATCATTATCGTATTACTTTACTTTTTTAAAAAGGTGGCATTGAAAAAATATTCTTTATCTATAATTTCAGGCACAGATGCATTATTACGGCATGACAGTATTATTTACATTTAACAGAAAAGTAAACAGTTTACTCATGCAATGGACGTGTTTCAAACGTTATTATATAGTCTTGATTACATAAACTAGTTCTGTTACCGTAAATCTGCAAAAAATATAACATTTGTGTACATTTATCTTCGTCAAGTTGTTGTAAACTAAGTGACGGCATTATATGCAGTTTCATCTAGCGACTGGTTACGAGTAAATAAATTTTGTTATCATATATTTATGTATTATGAATGTATAAGACACGGCTATTCCTTTGCCTATTTGCTTAAATTTTCACGTTACAAGGCCATCACTTGTACTTTATTGGTTTGAAATTTACTTATTAAGACAGAACTCGCCTCTCTGAAACCATCGTGTGGAATGAATTATTTGTATGGTCATCAGATTGCGTAAAGCTTACTTAACTCCCTACCCACATATATTAACTGAGCCGATGTTCTCAATTTTATCAATAACAATGACAAATTATATTGGTCAGTGGCCTACATTTCATTCTATTTACTTCATATGGTATAAAAATATGTTTATATTATATAGTCAGTTTACTTGTTTAACATGATTTGTGGTTATCTATACATATTTTGTACGTTCATTTTAGTTATAGCACATCACAATTTACTTCTTTAAAGTACCTAGGTTCTAAATGTTATGGTTGGTATTTTGAAAAAGGTTGACGTTAGAAAGTAATTAATACATTTTAAGGGATATAATAAGACAACTTACTTATGATCTAAATTGAGTGAACCCCCATGAATTCTTCTTAAGTACTTCATATCGATTAACTTGTCAATCGCGAATAAATTATAACGAGTATAGGGAAACTGCAAACTGTTATGACTCAATAAGGTATACAATTCCTGATCAGGACTCGTCAAGTCAGCGGCAGCATGTACCCTAGTACCATGGTTCGCTGTGTACATTCACCTGATCGTTATGTTATGGTCCCGTATACAAAAATAACGGATTGACAATACTGTTAACAACTCTGCTAAAGGTTCTACCAGTGGATAATTTTATAATTTACGTTACACATATTAGACCGTTATTAGGATACACACACCACACCCAAAGGTCTAAGTAATATTTTATTATTACACTTTAAAGTTAACGTATATTAATTATTATTAGGTAATATTGTGCAATTCTAGTACGCTTAATTGTTAACGTCGAAATACACGCCACCTCAAGCAGTATTACTTTATTTATCCATTATCAAATCCGAAAGAAAATACTTGAAAAGTATTTTGTTAATTTTATATTTTCCGCGATATTTATCTGTATTGCCGAGACTGAATCAGGCAATATAGTATTAAAGTATTGTACTGCCTGAAATGGCGAAGTAAATACTGTTAATTTCGTGCCTAACATTTAATTTATAGTTACTAATAATGACATCAAACATTGATGTTATTTAACATTGACCTTCTACCGTAGAACTTAGAATAATACACACACAGTGTCAAACATTTTACCCACTTAATTATAAACATCATTTTTACGAAAATACTAAAGTTTATATCGTAATTATGTAACATAATCTACCGAAAGGAATATTACTTCGAATATATAAACAACGTTTATAATTAAGGCTGTGTGATGTACGATAATATTCTCCTTTGAATAAATATCGTTTTCCTAATCGCTGCGAATTACGTAGAGTTTACTCTTTCATATTATTATGTAATTAGCAATTACATGAAAGTGAAAAATTTATGTAATTTTTATTCGTAATTGTCGTCGCATATTTAATACTATTTGCAACGATAAAATAAATTTAGAACTACAACATCAATTTACTTGGTTATTATAATGAATCATAGTAATGTTGGTCGAATCAAGGTATTAACAGGATTTAGAAAAAAGGAGTGCGTTCAATTTGAAATATTTTTTTAAATACCGTTGCAAATAGTGTCTACGATAGGAACATCAAATTGTCAAAATGTTTATGTCAATATTGTTATAAAGATCTTTAGTCGAAATATGCTAGACATTGTACATGTTATACTCAAAAGTACAACTCGCAACTTTGTAATGTTCATCATATTTTGGACTCATAAAAATTTAGGTCATCCAACACTTTGTTATTCATCAAATCCCACAATAATTGCACAATGTGCAAAGAAATTAATCTTACATCGAAGCGATAAAATATGTTTATCAATTCTTTACCATTCCTTCTTATTTTCTATTTATTTATAACATATCCGCGCCTTTGTATTAGGGTAATTTCGTCGACCAAACAAGGGGGTTTTACTCTACTATCAAGACATGATAAATGTTATAATCACAGACATAAAATTGTAAAAATAATATTGTAAATAAGTGTCATTTTTTGATCTTTTTATAATAATAATAATAAAATGTATATAATTACTTTCATAATGTATGTATGTTGCTACTTGTTGTATAAAAATTAAAATTGTAATAATATAAAAATTAAATTCATTAATTGCGATACTAATGCGAGTATAACGTTTCAACATTGATAACTACTATACTCATATATAAATAATCTTTTAACAATCACGTGAACCAAAAAAACGATTACTGTGATTATAACATCAAAATTAGTCATTTATTAAAAATATAGAAAATAGGAATTGGAAAAACATAAAAAATATTTGATATTATTTAATGAATTTCATAAAAGGATTCAAATTAAAAAGAATATTTTACCATACACGAAACACAAAGAAATATTTTAACAAAATATTTACAATAAAGCAACAGCTATAATTTAACAACATATTATTTACACGTAAAAATAATATTCTCCATAAGAGAAACCATTTCGCTCGACGTCTCGTCATCATATACTATAATACAAATTACTTTGTCATAACAGGTAACATCTGACTTTCATACTATAATACACAACGTTCACAACGCCAAAATATGTATTTTATATTTCTATACAATATTGCACGCGGTATATTTCTATTGTACATGTGTGTGTGTACTGGGCGTACGAGTTAATAAGATATTTTAATCACTATTTTCTCCATCACAGGAAGCTACGAATTTCGCATCGATTCGTTTTTCGTTAAAAATTAGAGCATAATGAAAGATAATACATAGATAAATATTTATAAAAGACCATACCTAAAGTTTCTCAACGAACTTAGAAGTAAATATCATCAACGAAACGATTTTATACAACTCGAAAACATCACTAGCACTACTAGACTACATTAAAGATGTCTATAAATACGCGTATGTACTATATTAGTCTCACGATTGTGAGATTTACAGCCGCAGAGGTACCACGTAGACCGTAACTCGGAACGACGACGTTCGTTACGCTGGAATCTAAGGATCGTCGGTTAACGTCCATCCGATGAAGCGAGAAATTAATAAATGCAAACTTCAGCGAGACCCGGAGCGCTCGCAGCGCCCAGTGCGCCAGCGGGCACTTCACTGCGACAGCAGCTTCTGCAGCAGCGACGCCTTACTCGCCGCCACACCCGCGCGCGTCTCATCACCGTCCGCCGCCGACACCGCCTCCGCCGAGCCCGCCTCCGTAGTACTCTGCACGGAAACCAAACATCTTACCCTCTACTCCCGTCACACAAGCTTTTATCGAAACGTGCTCCTACTGGAAAATAACATAATGTGCAAGTATTATGTTCCTAACTTTACCTAGGTACTGCGAGGAGACTCTTAAACAATAACATAAAATTAATATTGATTCTTTACATTGGTTTGTTAGTGACTTTTGAGAAGGTTTTTAAAACACGTACATAAACGAATTTATTGTATTATTGGAAGCACACTAATACGTTAGTAGTCTCGTCGACGTTATGTCATTGAAACGTATTGTTCAAATCGTTTTAAAGAAGCAACAATGTCATAGAAGTAGCCTGCACATGGTAAAGTGTGTATAATCTTGATGATGTACTATATTGTGTAGAAAGAGGTATAATATGAATGTAGATAACTATCCATATCCTATACCCTATAATTAATATTTCATTTAATTGCATTTCTTGAAAACTTTCGAAATTAACAATTTTTTTTTATTAGGAATCTTAAAAAATGACTAAAATCATATTGGATAAATTACATTACGTCACAATATCACTATGGTTTCATTAATTAAATAACATAATGTAACTAAACACTGTTATTTTCACTACGTAGTATTAAGGAACTGATAGCATCTTTGATTTAGGAAAGCAGAAGATAAATGTTTACTGTATACGAGGAACGATCAAAATATAAATAACTTGACTTACGAGTTAAGAATTTTCTGTGGCAATAACACCCATGGGTATGCATTGAAAAATGTAGCTATATGTACTAAGTATTCCTGAAAGCTTGCGCATCTCCGAGGTCTAGGTTCGGCAGGGACTATTATTTATTATTTTTATAGTAATAGGTATATTTACGTGTACAGTTGTACACCTCTTATTGAAAATAGTTACCGCAACTTTATCATGCATTTAAAAGAAAATAAATTACTCAAATCTAGTTCAATAAATTAGAATATGATTTTGATCGCTTCTCGCTCTCTAATATGTACTATAAACCGATTCAATTTTTAATTACCGCCATGCAATCTTCTCCTGTTTAACTACGAAAACGTAATCAACGAAAAATGTTCTAAAACATTTTATAAGCGAACAATAAGCGATCTATTGCAAAAATATAATGCTGTTGTTTTATTACTACAACATCACAAAACCTTCACCACACTTTAGAACTCTGCGCATGCGATTTGTTCTCCCCGTTCTTTTATAAGCTCAACCTTTATATAAAGTCAAATCCTATAAGCCGGTGAATTATATTTTACGTTTAAATCAAATTATCTAAGAAAAAATATCTGAGATGATTATTTTTGAAATTGAAATAGTATTCACTATAAGAGACATTATTGTACATCACATCACAAAAGCTTTTCAAAATTTGGAAATGTATCAATTTAAGCTATACCAAATTGGCATCTCTGTGTAATTTGTTGTTAACTATAATGTTATTTGGATCAAATAAATACTTGATTTTTGATCTTACATCTAAAATACAGATCATCATGATGCCAGTGTGGTAAGCGAACCTTGATACACTTCACTCAGCTTCTAGAATCAAGATGATCGAATCGACAACACACGCAGCAGAGCAGACGTAATAATTATAGGTAGGTCTACAGAAAAATGAAAACCCATAAAGTAGTGAAGTGACTAGATGATATTTTGTAATCGCTGAACGCGTCCCAAGCTTACCGGGGTGCTCTGTTGCGATTCCCACGAATTAGTAGACGCCGAGGTCGCTCGGCCCCCCACCACACTGCCGCCACCTACGTACGTACACACGTATACATTGGCAGTGGTTATCGTCTACACTGACAATGTTCCAAGAAAACGTGCTACCGAGAGCGACGTTCCTTTATTGTCCCCAACTGACATGGCTATGGAGAGTTCTGACATAGTCGCTTATAGACAGTGCTGCCTATAATGGCCATATAATGGAATAAATTTTTGGCATTGATTTTGAAATTACTTTGAAATGTGTAATTAAATCGAATATTCTTTATACATGTCTAATATAAGGCTTAGGTTTTAATTTTTACTAAAATGAATTTTGAAAATGTACTAAGGATTTTCTAGTTTGCAGGCAGAAAACAAACTATTAGAGTAGAAACTAAGTATTTGACTTATAGAGCAAAGGTAATTTTTGAGTATGAAAACAATTGTTATAATTTTCAATAATTTGTTATGAAGTCACGAAGCTGCAAATATTGTCATGACCTTATGTTGCTGAAATCCCTTTGATGTTCGATATTATGTAGCATAGTTTTTAGCCAGATATTTGTAATTTCGCCCTGACTGTTTTAGTCTTTCTGTATATCTATGTCTACTCTAACCTTAGTTGAACAAATGTTGTTTATTTCATTTTGATTTTGGGCATCCAAATTCTTATCCTTTTTATCTTGGAAATAAATAAACGTAAATACAAAGATTGTATTCATAACTTCGTAATAATTATCAAATACACATAATCCCCGATTCCCATAGAGCACATAATTAGAAAATCTCTAGGACGTTATGTCTGTTCTGCAGTTAACATATCATGATTTCAGAATGAAAAAAGTAAATAAGTAGTATTCATCGACACTTATCATTGGGAATACATCCACAAACGTCGACATTAAATAAGAGTCGTCTATCTAAACAATGTGGGGTCACGGTGTGTTCGCAGGGAGTGCAGTGTATACGAACCCGGAGGAGTCATGTCGAAGCTCATGAGCGGGTCCATGTCGGGCGGCTGCAGCGGGTGCAGGTCGGGGCGCGCGCGCGACACCATGTTGCGCAGCTCGTTGCGCACGAACTCCGACGCGCCGCCCGCGCTGCCGCCCACCACGCCCACGCCGCCCACGCCGCCCACGCCGCCCACGCCGCCCACACCGCCCACGTTACCCGCACCGCTCACTCCACCACCGTTACCTGCACCTAAAAAACATTATTATTTAATCGTGTACTTACGTCATCCGTTCGACTCGTAGATTGTAGTTTACCTTTCTGTGGACCCTACACCGAGGCATTTAGGTAAACATCGAATAGTTGGATGTTCTTTTAGGTAGCGCTGTCATTCTTAGCTCGATCCAAAGTTATATCAGGTAAGCGAAGGATTTTAAAGCGCAGAATGCAATAGATTATTAATCATGCAGAGCGATAGGAATCGGAAGAAAGTACTGGCGCTACGTCGCGAACAAATTCGACTACTACTCGGAATCTTACCTCGCTCACCGACACGAAGCCGACAGTGGAATTAATCAATTTGACATACTTCCGAAACGCTAATCCCTGCACGTATTTCGGCGATGCTTGACGTAAAACCATGAGAATCGTTCGTATGGGGCGTTCGTGTCGCCTCGTTCCACGCAGTCTGCGGCGGGGCGGGGTACTCACATGCGTGCTGGTGGTCGAGCGGAGAGGCGTGGGGGTGCGGCGCGAGCGGCGCGTGGTGCAACGGCGCGAGCGGAGCGTGGCCCAGCGGCGCGCAGCGCGCGTACTCGGCGCAGTAGCCGGCCGCGCCCGCGCCGCCCTCCTCGTAGTAGCCTCCCACTGCCACACACGCCGCGATAAGTACACGCTACAGCGAGGCGCCGACCGCAATGCCCGACCTACCTATTCGATGCGCCTGCCGGGATCGGGGGTAGGGATCTCGCGGGTCACGACTCGAGATATCGTCGGATGCGCGAATAGAGTCGATCTAACGCTGGCTAAGAGCGTCGAAGATACGTTTACCGTATCCGATGAGCGTGATTGCCCGCGCGCATACCGTGGCGGCGAGTCACTCGATATGAGTCTACGACCGCGAAGGTTTGTCTCTCTCGTCGTAGCTAGTATCTTGCATTCATAAGATTTATAAAGATACCGGATAGTGAAGCCATAGACATGCAATTAGATTTTTGTCTAAATTTTCTGGCGAATTGACCAGATCTGGCAGGACACGCTATTTCTAAAATTCTACGGGACATGCGTTTGTTTTTATAATAATTATCATGCTCTTGAAGTCAAATAAAATGTATTGTCAAATTTCTAATCTATAAATATCTACCAAAATGTAATGTATCATTATTAGTATAATTGAAAAGCTGTACAAAAACCACTGGATAGTAGTATAAATTCAAAAAGAATTTTAATTATATAAATATCTGATCACCTTAATAAGTAAAAATAAGCAAACTACTTCCAAAACAATGTAAAATATAACCACAAGACCACCCACCCTCTTACATGTAATATAAAACATTTTCCAATATTGTACCTCTTAATAGACAGCGCGCGTTAGTATAGTCATTTATCGTTAAAGTATGTTGAGATACTATACTCAAGTACTTTAATAATAAATTCATAAAAAGAGATTCGCGCAATTCAAATCGATAGAAAAACAAGTAATTGTTTGAAATGCGCAGTGTATTATCAAATAGATGTTATACTTTTAAATCTTGTCTCCACAAACGTATTTAGGGATGTCAAAATACTTTAACTATTTTAATAAATTAGGGTTTTTTTTTTAAGGGGGGAAAATCATCGAATGACTGCTCCCGCCTTAAATTAGGGGGTACGATAAGCATACGTTTGTGGAACAAAATCGGTCTGAAATAACTGTTTAGCACATATTTTGAATAATATCCTTTCACTGGTCATCATCAAAATAGAATAGTGAGAACATTAATCAAAACATTGATGTAACTATGAAACGCCACTCATCCTAATTCTTCATTATGTTATATCTTGCGAAAATGAATGAATTATTTGTTATTACGTTTAGGGTTAAAATTGAGAGAAGTAAGTACAGTGGTACGAGTATGGTAAAGAAGTGGGAGAGTGACGGGGTTTAGTCCTCGGCACGAACCATAACTAGATTTCTTGCGACGAGGAAAGTTTACGCATTGATTTCTTTCTTTTTTTAATACTACTGCCATCATTTCCTTTATTAAATAAGTTAACGTAAGAATCCCGACCCGTAGCTGCGGACGACGGGTTACCGGGACTCCGGCTTGAAGTAGGAGTAGCAACCGGGGGGCTTTAAGTTGGTAAGAGTCTGGACAGTTCCTCCCGACTCATTCACAGCAGGATAAGGCACTGCATGATTTTAACCCTCAAAAAAGAATGCGCAAACTAATCCCTATCAAGAAGAATCTGGGCATGGTTAGTGTGAGGTAGTGGTGAGTGGCGGGTGCGCGCAGTACGCACCTAGATGCGGGCGCGGCGCGCGGTGGTAGGGCGGCGCCGGCGGCGTGTGCAGGGACGCGCCGGCCGAGTAGCCCGCGCCCGACACCTGCAACAACACACGACTTATTGCTGTACAGTAACTTACATGGCGACACTCACTAGGCACTGCAAATGTTCATGTTATAGTAGAATAACAACAATATTAAATGAATTTACTAGACATATTCAGTGTACTAAAGTGAACTAGTTCCGAGAGTTTCGAGTAGTTAAGAGTCCCGGTTGACTTGAAATTAAGAAACCTTCTCTCCTATAACTAGCAGCGTGAGCTGCGCATTCGCACGTCAGTTGAGTCCCAATGACTTGAAACTAGAAAAACTTTCGTGCCTTAGTTTACGTCAATATTAAGCCGTATTGCAATTACGTTTTAGGACGTCTTAAGGTAGTTATTTTATAAAATCTTTTTATTGCATATAAAAATCAAAAAAAATACCAAAATAAGAGTATTACAACATATAGTTTGCACAATACTGACACTGATTATATTAAAGTTGTCTACTTACACTTAGTTGTCGACTCAACATAGGATTCTGTTGAGACGTGTTTATTTTATTTGTACCATAATTTGGACCCATTTGATCTGGAAATAAACAAGAAATATTGTAGAAAATATTGCACTAAACCTTGTCAAAACTTATAGGCAAAAGAAACATATTTTAGTAAGAATTGGTATCATTGAAAAAACAATACAGGATGTAACTGAATTCGTAGGAGATAGGCTGATTATGTGTTTCTTCTCAGAGTAGTATGATATTAAGACCCAAATTAGTCTACTTTTAAAATAGTGAAGTGGATAAATACTATTTCGTAGCCTTTTTACGGAAATAATCACGATTATAACTGCATTAGTCGACTACAACCTGTATACAACGATGTGATACAATGAACACTTACTATTCTGATGATATATCTGATGGTGATAGTCCGTTCGTGTTAAAGCTACGTTAGGAGGTGCTAAAGTGTTGATAGTTGAGCCTAAGTCGGCCTGGGGCTGCTCAGCGGCCTGTGAATAATAATTTGAAATGTTTAATTTTAAGTATGTAGAACAGAACGAGAGATCGCTAGTCTATTGTAAAAAAAAATGAAGAGACACGTAGCTAACATCAACTAATGATGACCTCAACTATACTATATTTTGTACAATTTATTTTTATTGCATAGTGGAAGAATCTTATTAACGGTGTGGTTACCTCAGGCGAGACCAGCATCTGCTGGCTGCGCTGCAGCTGCAGCAGGCGCGCGCGCTGCTGCTCCACCAGCGCCCGCGCGCGCGCCGGGTCCGCGTAGTGCGGCGCCGGCCCGGCCGCGGCCCGCCAGCGCTCGCGCAGCTCGGGCGAGCCGGGGCTCACGGGGCTCGCCACCGAGTACGCGCTGCCCGCGCTCACCGCGCCCGCCGCGCTGCCGCCGCTCGGGCTCGACCCGCCCGGGCTCTTCTCTACGGCCTCGTACTGCATCAGGCTCTGCCTGATCGCATTTATCATTGCGTTCTTTTCTTTCATGCCCTGAAATATCGAAAAGAGACATATTAAACTACCTTCCGGTGTAAAACTAACAATTACATGTTGGTATTCCTTAGTTATTTGCACAAAGTTCGATTATACCTACGAATCAGAAACTAAGATAGTTTATAGGCACCACGAAACTGCAGTGCGTCAAACGAGCTGCTTTTCTAAGATAAAACAAAGAATCAACCATAATCAGCAATAAATGGTGTAACAAAAGACTAAGATATCGTATGTAGTCGGTAACCAGTATACCTGTCGTTGCCGCCCACTGACGTCGGACGACGGTCGGTCCGCGTCCGGCATGTTGTCAATGACCTCGTCCAGTATGTCGGACAGCGTCTGGTCACTGGGCACCTCACTGTCGCCACTACCACTCCCACCTTGCGGCCGCGGGTTACCACTCCTGTAGTTCAACATCGGGGAATCATTAGCACCGTAGGTACGCTACGTACACAGTTAATGGTATACGTATATACGTATACGTATTGTATGTAGTAGTAACATACGTGGCCTGGTTGTTGTAGAGAGGCGCAGGTGCGGGCGCGGGAGCGGGCGCGGAGTAGTGCAGGGGGTGCGGCGGGGGCGCGGGGTAGCGCGCGCCGCCCGCCAGGCCGCCGCCCTGCAGCACCATCTGCAGGTGGCTGGAGCTGCCCATGCTCACCGCCGGACCTTCCGCGCTCACAGACGACACACCACCGCCACCGTTCATGTTATTGGCACGGCTGCAAAAACAAACAACATTATAATTCCTATTATTTCTTCAATAATCGTATCAAAATTGTCCCGTTGGTCTAGAAATAGCCGCTAGTCACTCTCACATAAAACTTCGAAAAAGTTGTATTTAAATATCAATATCAAAGAGAGAGAGATATATATATATATGAGATGAGAAGATGTATTTGGTCATCAGTAGTATACTAACTGGTTGGTGCCGGTGAGTATGTTGGAGAGCGTGGAGTGGTGATGTCGCTGCGGCGGCATCTGAGGCGGGGGCGGGGCGCGCGGGCGGACGGTGGGCCCGTAGCGCAGGTTGGGGTGGGGCAGGGGGAGGGGCGTGGTGGGCGAGGACTGCTGCCGGGCGAGCAAAGACACCAGGATCTGGTTCTTGCGGCACAGCGAGCTCATGCCGGGGCTGCTACTGCTCGCTGGACTCGTCGCCGTCGAAGACGTCGTTGATGACGCGGGAAGAGCACTCGATGTGACCTGTTATTCAATCATATGTATTTTATTATAATTTTACCCTGGGTCATGTATAACACGATGATAATGGAGTATTTTAATCTGAGCAATTTTTTTAATCCAGATGATATTCTGTCACAACTATTAAAATTTGGTTAGTTATGTACACACCGTCAATACAGGTTATTTGTTTATACAATCCGTAAACTCGGAACAGTTAGAGTAACAATACACACCTGTTGGTTTTCAGGCGTGGCTCTTTTAGAGTTATTTGCTACTCCTTTAGCTTCTTCGAACTTGCGTTTCACTCCGGCAATTCTTTCAAGATAATTGTCACTGCTTTCCTGTTGTCGTCCATTTCCAGACGGTCCATTACTACTTGAAAGTAATTGGGACAACAGTGCACTAGGTTGAGAAACACCCCTACTCCCGTCTGCAGAATTTCTTCTGTTATCCTCCGCATCCTCGTCAGATTTATCGTTTAATATCTGCAATATTGGAAAGGATAATACGGTGAAATGAGTGTGAAGGACAAACAGACGCGAGTCGAGGTAGCCGCGCGCGGCACTCACCCTGAGCAGGACGTCGGAGTTGTTGTGGTGCGCCTGCTGCAGCGAGTGCGCGGGGTGCGCGGGGTGCGGCGGGTGCGCGGCGTGCGCGGCGTGCGGCGCGAGCGGCGCGCGCGGGTGCGCGGGCGCCGACTGCAGCGGCGACAGCGCGGCGCTGGGCGTGTGCGGCGTGTGCGGCGTGTGGGGCGTGTGCGGCGTGTGTGGCGTGTGTGGCGCCGAGGTCTCGCTGCCCGTGGCGTCCTCGTCCTCCTGCTTCAGCAGGTCCTTGAGGATGCGGTTGTTCGAGTTCACGTTGTTGTCGTTCGCCGGCATCGGCTTCTTGCTGAGGAGCGTCCGAAGTCTATTCGGTTCCTCGGCCGGCTGATTCGAGGGCGGCCCTTCGCCCGGAGTCGAAGGCGCTCGCGGCGTCGGAGGCTGCGAGGGTCCTTCGATACTTTCCTTACGTTCTTTAGTATCTTCGCTGGGCATATCGAGCAGAGAAGACGCCCAGGGTTCGAGGTCGAACTCGCTTAAGAACGTGCCGTCGTTAGGACTTATCGAAGACTGATATCGGGGTTCACAAGAAGAAGATTCCCCGTTAGCGACGGACGTCATGAGTGGACCACCGACAGGAGGTCGAGGACCATCTGTTTCCAAAAGATCCATTTCGTCGTCGTTAAGCACTGTATGCGTGGACATTATAAAATCCGGTTCACCCGACGACGGTTTTGCTCTAAAAAGACGCGACTGTGCTATAACTCTAAAGCAAGGTCTGTCTGGGGCAATACGTATGCGAAAAGGTTCACTGATCGCTGGCGGCGCGGGAAGACACGTAGCCTCCTGCAAGTGCGCGGCTACACGAATACGATCACTATTCTCAACAAGTTCCAAATAACGTGTACCCACTAGGGGTACAGCAGTGTTCATTAAATTTTCCACTCCTCTTAAATCACAAACTGTAAAAAGAGAATCAAATTATATTATTAACATTTTTCTAAGTAAAAACACTCGAAGGGTGTTGGACAAAGAGTCCATTACCTAATGAAAGGAGTAATGGTAAAGCAATGGCTTACGTAAAATGATGAAGTTGCAATCCAATCTGAAGACGATGTGATCAGAAGGCTTGGCGGTGCTGGCGGGCGGGCCGCCGTCGCCTGGGAGAAGTGCGGCCGACGCGTCCTCGCAGCGCCGGATGACGCACATGACGGCGCCGGCCTCCTCCGAGGACGAGCTGCGCACTGCCGCAGCCTGGATCACGCAGTCCACGTACCTGACACACCAGTGCATGCAGTCAGATCCACATACTATCTACCATCGTTACATACATACTCCGTCCACATAAACCGAGCATGCTACTTATATGCTAAACATTCCTCTCACTTTTCATGTTTAATAAATCATCTATACCAATAGATTCCATAATTTCCGTACACAAATTGAAAACCAAAACATACCCTTACTACTTTAAAATGTAAGAAAATCATCTCACGTGCACCCAAAATATGATATTTTGCACAAAGAGTATGCACCATGCACTATTCAGTTATAATCACAACTAGCAAACCCGGCGAACTCCGTTTCGCCACCAAATGGCTTCGTTTTATGTAACATTTCGTTTGGTGATTAAAAGTGAATTTTCTTTGCTATAACCTCACGGAGCCCGAGACCGTTCCAACGAATTCAAAAACGTGGAAATCGGTTCGTGCGTTCTGGAGTTATAGCGTCAAGAAGGAAAACCCGTTTTATTTTGATATAGTAGAAATTAAAAAAAAGTTATTTATTTCTAAAATATCTATGTACGCAGAACATTGCACATATTTGTGAAATAGATTTCTACGGTAGTTTTGCATTACTCGATGTTAATACGTATTAGTTACAAGTAATCGGCCCCTTATCGTACGACCGTCACCATCTACTATCACAATGAAATAGCAAAACACGGTCTCATATCAATAGTGTCACACGACGACTCGTTGTCTTTGACACCTTGAGATATTTTATATCATATTTTACTTTTGCAACTACAAACACACATTTAAACGTTTCTGGTTTAGACAACTTACCCAGTACTGTCAGTCCCATTGGAGTTCTTGACAAGAAGACGAGCCTGTATAGCTTGAAACTTCTCTTGTCCAGATTTAATTTCTGACGCACCCCAATTAAAGTTTTGTGTATTTCTTAACAGTGGCTTCAATTTTGCATGATCTTTGCTATGCAAAAGCGAGAATATTGATTTCTTGTATAACTCAGTTCTGTCCTGCAGAGTGAGCTCCTTAATATTTTCGGTTATACATACTATTTCAGCCTTTGAGTTTATTTCCAATAAAACCCACCCGAGGGTGCCAGTGTAATGCTTGAGAGCCTAGAAACACACAAATTGAATTTAGATTTAGAATATTACTCAGGTTCTAGAAACTGGAATCTAAATAGTCTATTTATTATTAAAATTGTGTAGCTTACTCTGTGCAAATCGCAATAAAGTTTAGAAACATTCTTTGAATCGTTATTTTTCAACATGTCGTACGTACATGAAACAGGAAAAAAGTTATTAAAATAAATGAAATGAAATACCTCGATTAGCGAGTTGGTCTCCGAGTAATGTAATCCAGCGCAGGACGGCTGGGTGGAGCTAACCTCGCCAGCCTGCACGGGCGAGCGGCCCTGGGCGGCGCGGAGCGGGCACTCCTCGGGACACTCCTTCCTGCGCCGCAGCACCTCCTCGATCTGCCGAGTGGCCTCGCTTACGATGCCGTTCTTATCTGGCTGCTTTACTTCAGCAAGACAGGTACTCAAAAGTTCTTCAAGTTGATTTATGGTAGCGTTTTCGAGCTCCCGTCGCTTCTTCTCGTTGTGACACTTATTTCTGAAAAATACAGGTAAACAATTAATAATCACAAATCTTTCTGCTGAGTCTTAACAGCTAAAGCACGTTTAAAATGTTAATAAAAAAAAATCGGTATGAAATATTTTATTACATTTAAAAAGTTTTTTTTTTTAAACATATCGATGGTTGAGAAGATTTGTTTTAAAGAGATATGGGAAACCATTTAACTATTGGTTAACATTTATTAAAGTAAAAAAGACAAATTACAATATCATCTACACGAAAAACACACTGAATGAAATAATTATGATAATGAACGAAAACATAAATCCACCTATGGTCTATACTCTGCACGAATTTAGAATGAAAACTATAGCCCTATCTGGCCAAAATAACGTTAATGAATATGCAAATATCATTATCATTTATTTACTGAATTATCAAATTTCAAACACGCCATCGATTTAAATATTCAATTCTCGTTAACACGTGTATGGTATTCATTCTATATGGGTGTATAGGTACTAATAATAATTAAAAAAGTAAAACTGTGCAAATTACGTAAGCACAAGTATAATTTAGGTAAGATACACACGAAAGACAATGCGATAAGACAACGAACTAATCATTTTGAAATTAAAAGAATATAATGAAACTTAGTACCGACTACTAACCTACTATAAGTACATTTATTTCAATTGATTGTTGTTCAAGTATTTCCTGAGATATTTAGCTTAGTTGCTATTGTATGCAGTTCCATACAAAATTCATGATTGATTGGTTGATGCAAAACAATGTTGTATTGCCGAATTCCGGTCAGTAACGCAGTGTTGATAAATGATATTGTGTTGATAACAAGTACCTACAGTTTGCAGGTGGTGTTAGGTGATAGAGTAATAATTTGAAAGATATGTAGTTGGTTTGTCGTGACCAATAGTGTTCATTATTAAGTACTAGCGGCCCGTCCCGGCTTCGCACGGGGGGACTTAAGATTTTTTACATAGTTTTACGTTTTATTTATATTTATTCTCAGTTTATTATTTTTGAAATAGTAGGTAAGTACTTACCTAATAGGTATCTTTTGGATGAATTAATAGTCTTAAGGTAACCATTGAACAATTCAAAAGTTATCTAGAGCAAACTTTTATAAGGATTGAACCATTCATTAAAACAATTGTTATGGGTAAACTATAAAAGGTAGACATATGCTCTCGCGGACTTTTCTAAAAATAATGTTAAGATGAACAATTCATCTATGGAGCATTTTTGTATAACTTTAACTATATGCTCAACGCACGCCACGGAAGGCCTCAGAAACGATACTTTTCCCCGTTTTTAAAACATTTTTGGTTACTGCTCCACAACTATAGGACCTAGCGTGATATTATATAGCCTATGTTACTTCTGAATAATGCAGCTTTCTAATGGTGAAAAAATTATTGCAATCGGTCCAGTAGTTTTTGAGTTTATTCATTACAAACATACAAAAATACAAAAATACAAATCTTTCCTCTTTATAATATTAAGTATAGACATACCATGTAAAAGTAAATCTCTCTTGGACTCATTTTAAACGACAAAGAGATAAGAGCTTATTTGTTGCCTAAGGTCGGGAAATGCGATAAAATTATAAAAAAATACATTACGTTCCGCAGTTTTGTACTTATTATTAGAATACAGCAAATCTAGGGATGTGCGCATTTTGAAGGGTTTGTTAAGTTTTAGATAGTTTGTTGGTAGTGAATGACATGGATTGTTCAATTAACTGGATCTTGGATGAGTATAATAAAATGTCAGTGATGTATTGAAGTTATACATTAGTTTTATACTAACTAATATACTTTTATCTACTGCCAATAATATTATTTCCCTAGTGAATCATGTTCCCTAAATTGTATTATACTAATACTAATGGTAGGTAACACCTCTAACTAGGTATCTGATAGGTGTATATCAGTTTATCAGATACAATCCTTCGTGAAACAAGGTTTATTACAATTAGTATCTATTTAATTCACGGTTTTAATTATATTTTACTAAAACATCACACAATATGCTTGTTATTGTGCCTTTCATAATGAACACGACGAGATTGTAATAATATACTCACTGAAAGTATTTTTATATCAAAACAATTTTTAGCATACATATAAAATGTATTGGTATTTTGAATAATATGTAGACAAGTATCATTAAATAAAACTTTTAATTATCAAAGTGACCGTCCCACAAAAGTAGAACACTTTCTTCCGACCTCTTAGATTAATTCCGATCGACTAGGAAGGACGTCATTAGTTAGTTAATTCGAAGTATACACGCAAGGATTTATCGAATGTAAGGACTCACCAGATTGACAACAGTCACGAATTGCTTTCTTACAAGTTACACCAGTGCCTAAGTCCTTTTTTATTATTCTTACACAAACGTTGTCCTCACACTAGGATGTTCCCCTGTGTCGTAGGTACATACATATAATTTTACATACACATTTTTGTTATCAATGTTTTATATACCTATTTTAATTTGTACAAATCGCTATTAAGCATTACCAATCAAATAGTTATTTAATGTAGGAAGAACGTCTATCAAGTGATGACTAATACTAAAAGTTTTATAAAAACTATGACTACTAAAATAACGAAACATCTAGCATTTTTACATTTCAAACAAATACTAAACATGCACTTTAATGATAATAATCGAATAATATGACGAAATCAAAAAGGTATGAAATGAATTAATTTACAAGGTGTATTTACAAGTATAACCCTATCCAGCAACCGATATTTCCTGGTTACTTAAAGACCAAACGCAATATTATTAGCCAGTTAATAAAGTTCGTTGTTACAATTTTATTCACCAAATCGCTTAATTGAAATTAAATTTGACAAATGATAAGACTTTATCAGCTTTCGAGAAACCAGGGTAAACCAATAATTGTTCTGACACGTCACAATATGGACACTGAGGAATCATAATAATATTGTAGATAAATAAAGTACCTACATACTTTTTATTGCTCACATGTTATGTTAAAAGAAATATAATAAGACAGCGACACAATGCAGACGTTCTTATCAGTGATTACTATCAATCGTAGGATAGTCAGTATACGCATAAATAAACTGAAGGAAAACAATAACGAATAAATACGTACATATACTACTAAAACATTCATCAAACAAATATTTTATTACTTAGATATAAGAGAATATAATAGTGTGTATATTGAAAACTTCAACATTTTTTATGCTAATGATAGGATCAAGGCTTATCTAGTATTCTGTGTGAGGGTAGTACTTCCCCGGTAGAGCTAGCCCATATCAGTTGCCTATTATCGGCTAGGCTCTACCATGAAGCTACATGAGAACAATATGATAGATGAGAAATAGTTCTAAGAAAGTTATTCTATTATTCTCAGGCGTTAAAATAATAATAAAAATGAGGTATTTAAAGGCATGTTATTTGATTTTGTTCATATTTATATTTTGATTAAAAATTGTCAAAACAAATACCCTTACCAGTCAAGACTTGAAAATTAAACGCAACAAGACAATACACAAATCAGAGTCCACTCTCAAGTTTCATAAGCTTCTTCATAATATAGATACACAACAACACACACATACATAACAACTACATATAAACATTAAACATAATGTAAGAAAAGTCGGTTAAAATTACGTCTAGTTCATTGAATAGAGGTGCACACACTGTTATACCTCTATATAATTATTATTATTTGAATAATTGTCGTAGTACCTACTAGGAGCATTGTCATAAACTGAGCTCTTTTAAATGGCAGTGGAGCAGTATTGTTATTGGTAACACAAGTATAAGACGTGTATTAATTTCAAATTATTGAGAAATAAGATTCCATGCAATGGTGGTTGCAGCGGCTACCACCAGGACAAGATACGACAACATTAACAAATAAAAAAGATACTTTAAACTAGGGTCATGAAAAATATTATAGACATTCTATTTGATTCTACTTACCAACAATATAACTACACAATTTAGCCCTTTGTTTAAATTCCTGTAACTTATCAGATATGAATGAGACTCATCACGATGACTAAACGGTAAATAGTCTAGACTTATAGATTTAAAAGATTATATTTTGTAATATAAAGGAGGAGGGGGACAAAGCCAATATACACATGCTATGTTCAACCAAGAACATTCAAGGTATTGTTTATGATGAAAAAATTAGAAATGTTATCTGAATGCATTTTTTATAGTTTTTGAATGCCATTGCCATTTATCACTGAATAATCAGATATTAAAGTGTTTATGAAAACGCAATTTTTGTAACTTTACAATTTTCGATTTAACTTTTTAATATCTTTTCAATATTATTATTTGTCACTTAAAGAAAGATATTTCTCTAAGTAGCTTATATAAAAAAAATAATGAATTGGGACTTTATAACGACCAATCTCAGGAACCTCATCTGCTGGTAGATTTGGTTACTAAAGATAGAATTTTAGCACCTTTTATATCCAGCTATATTAAATACTAACTGTCCCCACGACTTTGTACACATGGAATATGATTCACTTCATTCCATGAAGGCATTTAATCGGGATAAAAAAATTATCCTATCACCTAAGTCAGCCCATACCCTGCCCGTAAACCAAATTGTATCATTCAATAGTTAGTTTCAGCGTGATTGACGGACAAAGATCCAAACAAAGAAACATTTATATTTATAATATAAGTGTGATACAATTTCTTATTTAGTAAGCAAACATTATCGACACATAGTTTATGGGTATAGGTAAAGATAGACATTAAAACGGACAACATTGAAAATACTGCAAACATAAAAGTACAAACTTACAGATAACACATAAAGCATTAAAAACAAAATGAATCAATTGATCATTTATATTACACGGATCCAATGCATCAATTCTGGACACGTCTTTCCTTGTCATTTTAAGTAAACATATGATAATATAAATAATAATCCTACTTTATAAATTACTTTGGAAGAATTATTTTTTACTCGATGTATATTTTTTATATATGTTAAGGTTTCGTTTGGTAGATATAAATAGGTACCCCATAAGTACCTAAGTTTGATTCATAGACACAATGTAGACTAAGTTATTATTTTCTATTTTTGAAAATCACAAGAATTTATTAGGTAAATATTTTTTTATTATTCATAAGAGTGGTGAACAGAGTTCCGAAACTGTTTATTTAAACCACCATAAGGATCAGGGCACATGACTGCTTATTATTTATTCATGTGTTTCCCTTTGACACACTGACCTACTGATTGGGTGGCGATAATAATTTAAACTATCGATATTGCAGATAACGATATACTAATGTGGCCTTCACAACCGTCATATACATGTTCGTCAAAAAGCCTTAGTGAAATGACATTTAAAGTTAATTATTTCGGCTTTTTCTTCTTTTAAAATGTCAACATTACAATCAGGATAGGAACTTTTGTCCGTTGAAGTCAAAAACCACTTCAGGATTGCGAAAAGGATTAATCGAGAACTTGTCTTACCAGCATCATGGAGGTGGTCCTCTTTGTGACTTATTCCATGCTTATAGAGGTCTATCTAAATTGAGTTTATACGAAATTCATATTGACAAAAAGTGCCTGTTCATAGCCCCTTATTTGCACAATATCTTCTACAAATATAACTGTTTAAGTTTTTCTATTTAAAGTTTAAAAAAACCGTGTAGTAATAATTTAATAGTTTACTTTATTTTTAACCTAGAGACAGTCAATTTCCGCCTAAGGTGGTTATTTTAGACAAAAATGCAAGCACTTATACATCGTGTATAGAAAAAATATGCTTTTATTTACGATCAAGTACAATAATTATCAAAAACCCAGACATTTCCACCAATGTATACACATTTCAAGCGTAATATACGTACATTTGAGATTGTGGCTTATTGTCTGACTTTTTTCTTATCTTCTTAACCGGCGCTGGCACGCTCATCTTGCCTTGCATCCCCCTCCATGTGTCTCCCAGTTGGAGGTCACAGGATTCAATTCTACAGAAGCAGCAAACAAAATAAACTATTATTAAAGTATGGATGATTTGTAACATTTATAAAAAAGAATGTGATACGATGATATTTGATGGTTGGTGATTTATAATCATTCACATTTGTGAAAATAAAATAATATGTTCTATTTTTCATCCCTACATAACGTAGTAATCTAAATCGTGAAACAGTGGTGGTTGATATCTACTTTAATTCTACTTCTAAATAAATAATAACAAAGGAAGCATTCTTTACTATTTTTTTTTTACCAATCAGACGATTCCCCAATCAATTTAATTATAATAGCGCAAGGGTATGACTCATTTCTGCTACCAAGCCAGTAAACGTATTGTATTTATTCAGGTTTTTTAAATAAGTTGAGTATTTATATGTACATTATCAAAACTTTAACCAGGTGAGGATGTACACTATCGTAATGGACTGCCTATCAAGGAATAGTTATGTTCACATTGACGCGGCTCATATCAAATGCCAAGTACAGAGTAAGCTGAACCTTAATGCAAAAGAGGGACAGAGATACCAGTTGAACGACGCCTACCGAGGAGCCCCACTACGCAACCTCACTGCGACGGCCGCGCAACCTTGAAATAATAATGTTCGGAATAACAACAACGCGCCACAAGCGTGACCAGAAATAGTATAATAATTCTCGAAAATGTTTGAAGCCTCTATCTAGTTCCTAGTACATACTCATATCCTGTCTGTATTTGAGATAGGTGCATACCTAATTCAGACAATATTCAGCAATGTTACACACCAGGTGTATGTATACCATGTGTTGTGTATAATAGCACTGTAATACCTAAAATATAATAGTAAAATTGATTAGACAGGATGCAGACCGTATTGTGTCTAACATAGTATTACCATAACTTAATATTTATTTAATGTTTTAGTTAAGTTGACACTTAAGTTCGAATAGGTGAAAGTTGGTAAGTATTGTCAGCGCTCCGCAGTCGAAGGTTTCGCTTTTTCAATCGTTCGTTACTCAACAGGTATTCGTCATCGAGACAACTACTTGACTACCAACGTGAGCAACTTTATTAAGCTCTTGTGCCTGATTTTATTACATCGAGTAAGGTCGTGTTTCTTAGACTACATTAATTCTGACATAATATGATCGTGTGAGTTTAAAACAAATTCCAGTTTATGGGTTTAAATGTAGGATTTTACCTAATAGTTTATTTTAGTCCTTACTAGAATGATTTCATTGCTATATTCATTCATTTATGCGAAATAGAAAGTTTTTACAATGACATCAACGTCATTAAATGGATCTGAAGCCTGCAGTTGCAGTAGCATTTAAAACTAGAAACATTTTAGATTTTAGTTTTCCGTAATCACAGCGTCCAAATAAGTATTCCACACTAGAATGGCAAACTGTAAAGCATAAGTTAACTGCTGTCGAATGATGTTTTAACTTTGCGTGAAGCCGTGTATAGTAATAACATATTGAGAGATCGCGAGACTGATCGGTAGTGGGTGATATAACAGAGAAGGCAAGCGTTAACTTAATAAATCATTTGAGTGCGTTATTTATAATATGATACAAACACGAAATCTGCACCTAGAATAGATTTCTTTTAATTGAAAATACTCTTAATAATATACTAAGTTATTTTTCAAGTTACAACTACCTCTAATATAAATAAAGTGGCTGATGTTATACAAAAACAGTGCATTAATGTGATCCCGAGACAAAAAAGACTCAAGCAAGCATTCTTAATTACTGTGATACAAAATGGAACTGAATTGAAAATATAAGTATACTGGGAAAAAATAAATGCCTTAAGGGCATATAAATATTGTTAATAGAATAATACATATCAATTTAATTAAGATGCGTATTATTCCTAGACTCTAAATTACAGGTAATTCTACATTTTAAGAAAAATCTTACAAATTATCATGATCTTGGTGTGGCTGACGTGAAAAGTGGTAACTCCAAAAGATGGAGTCGAAGCAATATTACGTGTTAATGTGATTGGATTACGTATAAATAGCCAGAATTTCTATTAAGCAATTACTTAACGACTCTAGTTAAATAGTACTTGAGAAAACCAGCTACTCGAAAGCAGAAAATTATTTGCATTGCATTGTTTCTGCTGCAGTTAACGCTACATTTACTATCTAAGTACTCGTGATGCATTAACTAATTAATTGTATTGTTTATTCATATTAAAATTTCAAGAAATGCGTATAATATTGGATCTAATTGAATATAAAATGGTTATTATAACTTACCGGCAATTTGAAATACTTATTAGGCTACACATTATTACACTGCGCATTTTATTTTTTGTTAGATATAACTTATGTCCCGGGATCACATGTAGTAAACCAAACATACCGATATATTTGCGTACCCGGTAAAAGAATTTACAATTCAAGTTTTGAAACACTGCTAATTTAGATGTATCACCTATTTGTCTATCACTTAGAGTGTCACGCAAAAATTAGTAGGCCGATTTTGAAGACTTTCACTTTTTGAAAGTTGAGGGTGCAGTACCTACGATGAATACACAGTTACGTAAAACGGGGTTTCTTCTTCTGTAAAATGTACACGTAATTTGCGATAGTACTACGAGCCGAATTTGAATATCATATCCAGTAGGATCCAAGTGAAACTAACAGTGGTAGTAGATGTACCACATGGGCCATTGAGATAACATTTATTTAAACATTTGCGTTTTAGATTGTGGTTATAATATACCGCATATAAAATCTTAAATTGTGTGTAGTAGTAGTTTAAGAGGTAATCGTTGAAAAGAAAGGAGTCCTAGCTAAGAAATATAGGTCTATTTATTGAGATTATATAGAAAATTAAGGATTTTGAATGGTAGCAATTCAGAAAACAGGTTTGATCAGTTTTCAATGTTATAATGTTAGGTTATGCTGAGTAATATAACATAGTCTTGGTCTTAAAAGTTGATAGCTATATAACGTAGTTACGTACATATATCGACTTAATTGACTACACTATTGAATCTTGCGGAAAGGAAATTACTTTTGTCTTTCAAGGAGGTCTGCATTTTTAAAACCTTGAAATATAAAACAAGTTATAGAAGCACTACACACGTGTTAATCGTTTCACAGATAATAGTCAAATATAAATGGTAAATTCCTAATGGTATAAATACAACCAATAGCTGATATTTAATTAAAATATTTCATGGTCCAAATTATTGACACGGTATGTTGAGACTAGAACGAATGTGGTCACAAACTTAAGCCTCAAATCGAATGATCACGAGTTGAGTGAGCGAGTCGAGGATCCAATGTGGTGGAACACTCAGTCGACAGCAAAATTACAAGCTCTACTAAAGCATACAAGTACTTCTTCTGGATAAAGTAAAAAATACAAGTGTGCAAAAACAATAACAATCAGGTAGATACCACAGTACCAAGGACTCCGATAAAAATCAAAGAGTCTTTGTTTAGTTTTGATGTCGTATTAAATGTGGATGTATAGCCATACTCTAGCAACACTTTATGATTGTCAATGGCTAATAAAGACCAGGGTTACCAACATATGAAAATATGTTCTGTTCAGTGGGGATTTGCCATAACAATGTAAGAATAAGAAAGACCAAGATTTAGAAGAAAACAACCGTTCAAAAGAAAAACTTTTAAGGTATTTGTTAAGGTCCTTCTGCACTCGACTTTCAAAGTGCAAACGTTAATTTTGGATTTCGCGTTTGCTAACAATTTAAGAGAATTACATTTTAAATCATAGTATAAAAATGGTGTAGATATTGATGAAGCCTTTTCGCCTAGCCATATTATATTAGATAGTCTTCCATTTTAATTAAGCTAAAACTTGAGTGATAAATCTCCATTAACCATTATTGCTCTCCGAAAAATCTTTAAAATCCATTTATCTAGCAAAGTAGATATAGCGATGAAGCAAAAAGTGTATTGTTGAGTTAAGGATACCAAACATGGTAGTCACTGTCATACTGAATGGTCGTGAGTCATGGATTCCTCTCTGGTGTTAGAGAATTATGCAATTATAGTATTTAATGCACTCATCATTGTTTAGAAATGTTAATTTGCTATGAAGTTATCAATGGTCTTATTTTTATAAACTTCTATAAAGTATAAACATGAAGGCATGGTTTTCGTTACAGTGCCTTAAAATTATGTGTTAGGCACACCTCTAGTAGCTACTGTAAAACAATAATTCTATTTAAATTATGTAACGACACGATAACGATTTTCATTCCATTTAACAACATTCTTTTCCATTTGTTATTACGCAATATCGACAATTCTTTTTACATACATATTATTTCAGCAACCCTTGTTATTAATTCTCCAACATAAGATCAAGCCACAAATGGATTAGCATTATGTTGTTGGTTTAATATGTTCTTATCATTCGTAATTACTAATTTTATCTTCATATGTGACCCGTAATCATTCTGGGTCTCGGTATTGTATGTCATTGGTCCGGTGTTGTGACTTGCTCGATTACAAATACCTACCTATCGTTAAATCGTAGGGTAACTTGAAACAATCATTTTAGCGTGAAATCGAAAATCTAACAATGAGGTTCTAGAACGACTCCATGTTGCAGCGCATTTTATTTTTAATACTAATACTCTGCACTGTTATGGTTAATGGCAAATGTAGTTTGATAAACAAAATTGTTAGTTTAATAAAGTGATCTGTTTACACAACAGGGCATTGTTGCAAGAGAACAAACCATATTATAACCACTACACACCTGTGTCTAAAAATGTACTTTTCAATTATTTACCTCGACACGGTGTTAACAGCAACATCAACGTCGAAGAAGATGTCGACTAGTTCGTCCACTTCCGAATCCGGTGTAAGCGAGGGTGGCAATGTGGCCGGAGGAGAAGCGGCCACATTGACCGAATGAACCCCGCAATTGAATAGCACAGGTTCTGTTTGTACCATGGGCAGCATGGCTAAGACACACTCAAACGTTCACTGCCACTATTTAATAAAGGAATATATCCCAGGATTAATTTTAAATAGCACAATACGTATCCGCATCCAAACATACACTGCATTGCGCCACGACCGCCGCGACGCAATTTTTTAATACTATGAAGGTTTCTAAATTCACACTCTTAATTCAACTACAAAACCAATTAACTAAAAACTGCTAGTTTGTATTACGTCTCGTTTAATTTTAATATTGACCGACTATAACATGCAGTAACTTTATTACGTAGTGATAGTGCAATTTCCTATCGTGGACTGATGGACTGAACAGTATTGCTATTATAGTCACACCAACGTCACTCCTAACTAAACCGAGCCTGCGATCTCGCTCGCCGACACGAATAGCTTGAACTTGCCGAATACAGCCGAGTGCCTACGATTTAGTACGACGTATAAATACATAACAAAAAATTGTTTGCTATTTCATTAGCCATCTATTTGTTGCGAAACACCGACCGAAATATAATAAACAATCAACGCCAAGGTATCTATAGGCCAAGTTTCGATAACTTTATAAATGGCAAATGGGATAAAATTGTACATTAACTTATTGTAAATTGTTACAACTACAAATACATAGTTACTTCAATTTAAAATATGTACATACTCAACTAGGTATATTTATTTGATACTGAGATCTTGAAGGAGTTGCGTAAACAAGTTTTTTTTTTCTTCATAAAAAAGGAAAAACCTTAAAATAAACGTTATGTATAATTTAAAGTTAAAATATAGAGTTAAGATATAGTTCTATTAAAAAAATGTTTTTTATTATGTTCCATGTAGCATTGTGTTTATTAGGATTTATTCCTAAATAATAAACGTTATTGAATTTGGATAATTGGATAAAGTTCGACATTAAACAAATGGCTAAATCGCGCGACATACAGCGATACGTTGTAAGCCGTGACGTAGGCACTCGTACCTACATGAAAGTGAAATGGAACAGTATTTGTGTCAAGTGCACAATTTAGATAACAAGGTCATCCATTGCATAACTCTATCGCATGATTTTTTATTTTACTCTACAATCTACGATAAACCCGCTAAGTTGGAAGCATTTTAGTAGTAACCCCATTTAGATATTAACTATTAAATAAACCTTACGACCGTATCTTTTGATAGATAAAGTATAATTTCATTTCGCGCCCCTAAACCCAATAAAATATATGTTAATAAATATTAAGCACAGATAACCATTGTAGATAATAAAAGTTGTGGATAATAATTAAGAGTAATCTAATATATCTATCTCAAACCATTTTTGTCGTAATCATGAATTATTTGGAATTAAATTCATTGAAACACGAAATTATAGGTAAAAGAGTAAAGGGGCAGTAGAGGAAGAGCGCGGCGCGTGCAGATATCGGTGCAGGCGGCCCCGCAGATCTATGTCAGTGGGTCACGGCAATGACGTGGCACACGGCCGCCGCGACTCGCGCCGCGCACTTCATTCTAATTCCGCTTCACCGGTATCTTCGTGTTGACTAGAGGGCTATTTATTTATTTACTCATGTGTTAGTGCGTTAATCTGACGCATTCATTAAAATCATATTTAACAATTGTCTTTAAGATTACCTCATGAAATACACCCGGTGGAATATAGTATTTTCAATTAAAAATGGACGTACTAAATACCAAGAGGTCTACTTTGTGCTGACATTGACCGACTGAAATGATTCACGTGAGAATGAGAAATACAAGTTGATTAATTCGCAATTCGGTTTATAGGTGGGATTTTCCTATTGACCCGTTTCCAGGGATATTTGCTGTAATGGGATCGCGCCCTTCAGATATTAGGAGAACTGTTGCGTATGATGACGATATGAAACAAGAAAATACTTTAGCGAACATGTCGTTCTAATTATAACCCTTACAACAATAAGTTGGACTCTTACATTAATAATACCTGGGGATATACTAATCTCCTTGAAGGTGCTTAATATTTTCACTTTGACTAGACGAGTAGCAAACTGATTTATTTTTTATACAATCAAAAGAAGTTATAAAACCTACAGTCCGTATTGTGTAGATTAGTGCATGCGGAGATTTGTGCATTACTTGTACCTAAAAAACATACAAATATACCAAATTTATTTAAGTTATTTTTACGTAGGTCTTAATTTTGGATATTTAGCTTATTAATCTTACAAAATTGTAATAATACTGATCGAGACCTTAAGATATTCGATACAATAATTTTGACTTACTACTTCAAACGATGGCTATGCTAGAAGTGTTAGGATTGCATTGCATTATTAGGATGCAATGTTTGTACAATTAAACAAACACCTAGAATTTTCCTCGTGCATCTGCACAAAAATGGGACAGTCTTAAATTTTTGGTTAATTTTGAAGCGTAATTAACCAAAGGTCTGCCTATTGGGTAATTACGCTTCATATTTGAAATATTAGCTCCTTATGTCGAAGCAACTAAACATGTTCCGAGAGACATTGACGAATGGTGACATGACAAGAGGCCAGATAAAAAAGTATTTTCTTTTCAATTGTATATGACACAAAAACATCGTAAATATGAAATACGTGTTCCTTGGACATTATATCATGGAGACCAATGTAATTATATTCTCGCAGGGCAAAATATTTCAGCCCCTTCAAGTTTATACGCGAATTTAAGACAGAAAACAGTCGAAAATCTAACACCTATTTATTCCCTATTTTAAAGCCCATATTCATACCTCCCTCCCTCCCATTAAACCCTCAATGAGCGTTCAAGATATAATTTGATTACGATACGAGTGTATTTTACAAGTTGTTAGGAAGACAATACTGAACTTGTTTTATTTAGATTGATCTCCAACTAAAAACACAACTTTACTCATCAGACTCAGATATCTTTACAGTCTGTTAACTTTAAACGAAACTCAGCCAATATCGTGTTTACAAGAAATGATGAGCTTCACCCTCAGGGGAGCGTAGATAATCTCATCAAATGAAACAACTAATGAGAATATAAATGACGTTCTATATTGGTTGGGGACCGGCTGGATTGTCGTGACGTCCCCGTTGCATAGTCCATCATAAGTCTACACCTCGCTATTTATTAATCATTCACCATCGATATAGAATTATTTTTATATTAATCAGTATTATTAAATTCGAATAATCAGGTACTATCATTTTACTCGACTATAAAGAACATACAAGTAATCTACAAGGAAAATAACGTGCCGAACTTAGTTGTTACAGATGTAAACCTGCGTACCCTTTGTTCTACCTTAGTCAAATTGTTAAACCGATTTTCATAATGTGGTGTAATGATAAAAATATGTGAAGACGAATGACGTTTTTATCGTCATGCCAGCTAGCTACCTTGATTTCATACGACTTGTTTCGTAATCGTTATGACTATGAGTAATTTAAAACGAGATTGAAATAAATAGATAAAATTATAGATAAAGCGAAAAAGTCGTTTGATGGATTCTAGATATAGGTTGATCTTTTCAAATCTTTAAATAAAAGTATCGTCAGAGAATTTGATTGATCTATAAAAAAAATCATTTGTCAGCATCCATTGGTTGTTTGTATAAATGTGAACTCTGTCTCTATTTGTTCCTTGCTTCTTTAGTTACCTGTGACTCTAGCAAGCTCATGTGTAAACTTGTGTAGTATAAAGACTGAGGTGTCCGCAAAGAATCCCCGCAAATGCGTTGCGTCACGTGGGCGGGCAGATCGATTGGGTGAGCGGGAATGTTGGCGCTTGCGCGAACCCCATCTTATTTATCGACCACCAACTTTTAACTGAACGCTTTTGGGGCAGGTTAGGCCTATGCTCTAGGGTCAAGGTCACGCGCCTCACCACTGAAATATTACTTATAGTACTCAAACTAGATAGAAATATAAAAAATCTTGCGTAGAGAAACATTTCTTCATCAATTATGTTGAAATAGGTATTTAAATTTAGTGCTAGCCAGTAAAATTTACACGAAATCTTGTCGATTACCTACCTGAGAGGATCGTGATGATAAAACCCATTCTTGCCGATGGTTTATTTCAATATTATACGAAATAAACCAATACAAAAAATAGCATCATCTACACGCTTGTTGATTAGAACAAGCTTCCTTTCCGTACGTGGGATAGAACTGCATCGTCATGCCTGACGATTATTTCAACCTATTCACAATGATTGCGATATCTCGTGACATGACCAAGCAGGTGTTGCATGTAGTACTAAAGGTGATCAAAAAGACCAGCACCTCTTTAGTTTACTATGCCAATGAAGACAACTCCCAATAAAATATTAGTAGACAGATTATGACATCAATAGAGTTTTAGGTAAGGGGTTAACCTGGAATTGCAAGAGTATACATACGTATTATAGGTACGTTTATTTAAAATGTTAGAGTACAGCTTAAATCTATAATTAAATAATTTTATTAAAACATACATAAACAGCTATAACAGCAACGTAATTTAAAACGACTTTGTAAATAGAAAGTTTTCTAATCTTCAATTTGTATTTTAAACGTGATACGAACAAAGCAGGACCAATGCCAAGATCAGGAAAAACCGGCGAAGCGTTGCCAGTACCTACATGTTGCGTTACGTTTATTGTGTAAGTTACGTCGCCAAGTTACGAAGAACAAGCGATGTTATCGTAGAGCTCGAGAATCGAGACGAAAAAATATTTTTATCTTATGTCCACTGCTTAAACTGGTCGTTTTAATTCTAGTCACCAAGTTTATAGTTGCAAATATAACCTGATTTATATTTAAATAATACCTAGGTTGAAAAATATAAAAAAAATAAAAAATAATAATAATTAGGGAGGTATGCAATTCGCTTGAAAAATTTAAAAATCGTTACCCTGTGTTTATAATTATGTTTTAGACTTTAACAGGTTTGAAAGTGGAGTCACTAGATTTATTTTAGCATAATTATTTAAATAGATTTTCCTTTTTTTATAAAGGCATGAAAGAAAAATGATCATAAGTGCGCGTTGACCGCAGCAAGAGGCGACGCGCAGTGGCGACGTCGGCGGTGGCGGCGGGGTCGGCGCAGGCTTCCTTCGCCCGGGATTGATCGTCCCCGTACCTACTTCGCATGTGAAGTCTCTGGTGTCGTCATGGAGACCGTCTGCCGCTATCGCCGTCGTGGCGTCGCCATGAGAACCGTGCTGATTCAATAGCTCAAAATTTCTCAACATGCAAATAAACCCGGCTTTACCTCGAACTAATAAATAAATAATCTTCAGGCCTGAATCTATTTAAAAAATTCGAAACATA